CGTCGCGCTGTGATGACGTCACGTACGCGCTTTCGTCGAGCGCGCTTTAGTCTACCGCGGTTTTGTGGTGGAACCCAAGAGTCTTGGGCCGCAATCCAAGTTCATGCAAGCTATTCACAAGCTTTAAAACCTGGCAGCCCCCCTCCCCCTCCCCAATGTCCTGGCCGGTTCCTCCCTCGCCCGCCGTGTCCCCCCTTTTAATCAGCAGTCTGTGTGGCACGAAGCCACATGAAGCTCTGGCTGATCACACAAGGGGTGAGTGGAAATTACCCTTGACTCTTGCATGCTAATATAATCTTCAACCACATCTTCTGGGCTGCAGCTAAAATTGCTTTTTAGATTAACATTTAATTATTAACCGGATGCACTCCTCCGTTCTCCCCTCCGCTGGTTCCCTAGCAGGCTCGGGGCATGCTCGTGATGGGGGGACGGGCAGCCAGTCAGGGTCTTTCTCCCCCCCCCACACACGAATGCATTAGCTGGGTTTCATGGAGACATTTGCGAGCAGGGAAGAGAGGTCACCCCCCCACCCCCCAAACCGCCTGCCTGCTGTATTAGGCGCCTTAGGCAAAAAGGTGCGGGTGAAAAGTTTCCCGTTTGGGGTTTTATTTATTTGCCATAATTTACAGAAAGGTGACCCTTCTCCAGATTAACTCATTCCAGCACCCAAACTGTCGGCTCTGCTAATTGAGTTGCAGCCCTTTGGGGTTTTCAAGGTTAAGCATAAATTATTTGCAAGTTTGCCTGAGTAGCAACTGGCAGGAAGGGATGGGGGGGAGGCAGAGCACGGGGGTGGTGGGGGTGGAGAGAGGGACGGTGTGCTTCGGAGCATGGGCAGAGTGCCTCTGGGTCTTGGGTGGGAAGAGGAGCTGGTTTAATTTTGCATCCTTTGGGCCCGGAAGGAAGTTAGATGTGACCGTTTAAAGCTTGGTGTGTCGTTTGCTGGATTAAGCCCACCTTTGCCTCAGGAAGAGCACCTGGGCACGAGGGTTGGGATGCCCCTAAACCAGTGTTTCTCAACCTTGGTGACTTTAAGTCCTGTGGACTTCAACCCCCAGACCCCCCCAGCCAGCATAGCTGGCTGGGGGATTCTGGGAGTTTGAGTGCCCAAGACTTAAAGAGACCAAGGATGAGAAACACTGGGTTTGGGGGATCCCCA